CTCACTTCAACTAATTGTGGTTTCTTTTGAGAACGTCCATATCGGCGCTTAAAACTTAAAAAATAATCATCTCCCGGTATTGAATTTTAAATGGAGTTTTTATGTTATTTTCTGACATATATTGTCCAATAGCTAACAAAATTTTTTTTTTGCGAGGCCAAACTCCATTTTTTCATGGTCTTAATATGGACATATTAGGCAGTTCTGGTCTCAATATCTACAGATAAAGCTGTTAGCCTACCCATAGGTGCACTTTTTTCACCCCTTAATCCCTCGACTCTTTTAAATAATGTTGCTTTTGGAATGGAATAATGTTTTGATGCTCTATAGAGTGTCATTTGCTTAGATTTTACAGCTTCAACTGCTTCTTTTAAGGTTTTTTGAGGTTCCTTCTTAAGGTTGGCGGTGGTTTCTTTTTGACATAATTGTGAACCATTGTAAGTGCAAAGAAAAAAAATAAGTTAGATTAAACTGTTTTTAATAAATGCTTGGGATAAGTGGACACTAGTATCCACTTTCCCCAATGTTGTGGGTTCCACTTGCTCCAAGCATAAAAAACAATGGGATAAGTGGAACCTATCTAGAGTACAAAAACTATCTACACAAGTTAATAAAATATGTACAATATAATTTTATTCCTTACCTAATGAAAATCGCTGTTAATTCGAATTCCTTAAATCATGAAAACCGTTGGCTTAAAAATAACAATTACAATTCGTTGGTTAAATCGATACCGGCTTAATAGTAGATAAATACTTACACTTCATCTAATTTATATAACGATGCACGTCATCGGCGTCATAGCCTGTGACGTCACATGATACCAACACAAAATATTTAGGGTCTAGGTGTGTTTTTTTTAGAATTACTTTACCGAGTACACTGGCATTACAGCCACTAGACATATTTTATTATATGCGCGTAGAAATAATATTTAAAAATTTCTTTTAATGTTAACTTAAAGAAATACACAATAATATGTTTCATTTAATTTGTATAAATGCATTATAAAGCATTTTTATCAAGAACATTTGTTCGGAACACAGTGTAACTGTAATCGAACGAAGGTAAAATTTTTTCATAAATTGGTAACACTTATTTGACAGTTGCGGTGTTGACACTTTTTATACTTCATTATTTTCAATTTTAAAGTGAATATCTCCTGTTTTATATTTTTAACTATTTAATAAAATCTGCTTTTTTAGAACAAAATTAGTGTGTTTTATTTAAAAAATGTCACGTAAGAATTTAAATAGTCGTTGTAAAGAGATGGTAATACTTTTGCAATAATTATGTAATCTATTTGATTTAAAATGGAGTCAGGATTTTTTTATACTTTGGCAACTATGTCAACTTTGATCTCTGATGTAGATAATGACGTAAGTAGTTATCTAAATTAGATGAAGTATATATAGTTTTGCTTAACCACAAAATTTTGACTGACTCTGAGCGTCAGTGGTAATATCAACCTGGTGTAGATCGTTTTTGGTGAGATGGCAGTCACAGGACCGGATTATGATTTTTTGAATCACATGTTTTTCACTTTCTCCATACTTCCACTTGCCCCGGGGTACCTTATATATATAATATACTGTTGTACTCAATAACCGAATTTGGCTATTGACCGAAATTTTTACTCACAACGCGTTTTGAATTTCGTTTAATTTCTCACATCGCGTTTCGGGTATTTTTGACCCACAATGAGAAACTACGAAAACCGTAGGACACATACGACGATTTTTCGCGTTATCAATACAAGTATCGACAAAGCGAAACTTCTAATTTTATCTGAAAAATGTAAATAAAAATATGTTTATAAAAATGATGGCTATAAAAGATGTAAATGATGCTAAATGGTGTGAATAAAAATACAACTACCCACATAATGAAACTTCTAATTTTTTTTAAATGCAGATAAAAATAAGTTTTAAACACAAAAAATTTTAGAACCAAATTTCTTCATTTATTTTTGCATGCCAGCGATCCATGACACTTTGAATTACATAATTTGTTCCTTTGTTTACAGGAACATTTATTGTCGCCACAAAACCTTTTACAGTTGCGTCTGAGAAAACCGTGACCAGAACCTTTGGATGACATATTTGCTGCAGTTCTCAAGGGTATTTCCTTACTACTGATATCATTTGACTCAAACATGAATTGCGAATTGGTTTGAATAAGTTCATTTCTTGAAAATAATCTATCCAGTGGTCCATTCACAGTACTAAGTTTGTACAAGCCATCATTATAAATTTCAGAAAGAATGGCTAGTAGATTTCTTGGAGTAAATCGATCTCTATCAACAACCGGCACTCGAATCTAAACATTAGTCCCTTTTTTTAAAGGAGCAAATCTTTTATTTGACTAACATATCATCTTTCATGGCACAACTCTCACCATTTTATGTGATTCTTCTCTCTCATTAAATATTCCCTTACTTCTTTGGGTTAACTGATCATTGAAATTGCCGTTAACTTTGTCTTCTGTATATTGGGTGCGTCTTCATTATTTTTAATCAGGTTATTATTGCCCAGGATTTCTAAAAATTCATTCATATATTTGTCTTGATTCTCTAAATTTTCTTGGCAGGGTTCTACAGTATTGCTTTCTTTTCCGTTTTTTAAATAATCATCACCATGTTCGTTTTTTATGCTATTTATTAAATCTCAAGTCTTCTTCATTTTGTAGTCCATCAAGAATATCTTTCGGAAGGTCTGCATCTTCTAAACCATTTGTTTGTCTGCTGCCAAACAGGGCCTTATAAGAGATCCTACCAATTCCTCCTTGAAAAGATCTGTTTTTCCTTGGACTGTATACGTCTCAACCCTTCGGATCATTTTGTATTATTATTATAGTTTACCCAGGTAATCAACATATCTTGGACATCTTGATTAGCCCTCTCTACAGAGGCTTGACTTTGTAAGTGTCTAGGTCAACCGTCAACTATCTTCAGACCAGTCCACATAGTAGTTAAATCTAGAATAAAAAAGTTGGTAAACTCACGGCCGTTATCACTTTGCAAGATATATGGAGCACCTACTAGTGCTGTGGTCAGTCACTTCAAGTCCTGTTTTATCAATGATCTCAAAAAGAAAAATTTATTCAAATGATTCTGGTAGTTTAAAATAAAGTTATATGGACCATTGGGCTCTATTTGCATATCTATCAGGTCAACCTACTTCTTCTTTTTCTAGTGCCGTCTCTACTAATTAAGGTTGGCTATAACCATTGCAAATTCGTCTCTATCTTCTGCTTTTCTTAAGAGCGTCTGTATGTTTAAGTGCGAATGTCCAGTTGCGAATAATTTTTAGCCAGGATATTTGTCGTAGAATGTCATGGCTGCGCAACCTGAGAGAGTGGTACGGATGTACATCAAACGAAGTTTTCAGAGTCTCAAAAGTCTGAATAGCTATGATGATTGACGACCTCCGCCGCGGAGATGGCACTTGAAGAAGAAGAAGGACCACTTTTTCCTTCGATTTTACCCTTCATAATCAGTGACAACAACCCGTACTTATTATTTCTAAGTATGTGTCTCACAAATATGCTGTCTCTTGCCTTTTAATGGTGGTCAAAAGTTCTCTGTCTCTTCCCATTCTGTGCAACACCATTTCGTTTGTAATATGATCGGTCTATGGTATCTTCAAAATTCTCCTAAAAAGCCACATCTCAAAAGCTTTCAGTTTTTTCAATACGTCAACAGTCCAGGCTTCGATACCAAAGATATTCCAAAGATATCCACTCTATTCTTCCAAAGTAGAATATAGTGGATATAACATTTTACCATCCGATATCGGATTTGCAGATTGAGTCTTTGGTTACTCAGAAATTTCCTCCTCTTCAAAAAGGTTGCTCTTGATTGCTATATTCTTGAGCGAATTTCTGATTTCGGATTCAGATCTTCCGTAATCAAGACTCTTAAGTATTTCATTTTGTGCACTTGCTCAATATCATCATTTTTTATCTGGATCCTTGTAATGACTTTGCCCCTCATACTGATAACCATGGTTTTTTGTTTTCTTTATGTTTGTTGCTAAACCAAACTGTTCCCCAGTATCACAAATTGTGTTTAGCAACGTCGGCAGGTCTGTTTCACTTTCAGCGATAATGACTATATCGTCAGCATAACGGATGTTATTTATATTTTCACCATTTATCTTGATCTTTTCTGTACATTTTTCAAGTGCTTGCGTAAACGACTCTTCGGAATATATATTAAATAGTAATGGTGAAAGTACAGAGCCCTGTCTCACTTCTCTACTTATCTATTGCGCATCCGTGCTATTTTCATCTAATGTTGCCAGGCCTGTTGGTTCCAATAGAGATTTCTCACTATGTTAATGTTATTTTTGTCGATTCCTTTTCTCTTTAGACATTCCATGAGAATGTTATGTTTAACTTTGTTGAAAGCTCATAGTATATAAACGCTACGAAAAGATCTTTTTGTTGATCTCGACATTTTTGGGCAAGAGTTGTGAAACTATATAGAGCTTCTACTGTTCCGAAGCCGTTACGAAAGCCAAATTGTCTATTACTCATATCCGCTTCGCACTTTTTGAATATTCTTGCATGTATATTATTTAAAAATTTTTTTAATAAGTGTGACATTTTAAGCTGATTAATCTATAGTCATTACAGTGTTTGGGGTTCTTGGTTTTTGGTAGCGGAACACAAGTTGATAGCAGCCATTCTGTAGGTATCTCACCAGATTTGTATGTGTTGTTAAAGAGTATAGTTATTGCACTTAAATTGTCTTCGTCTGTAAGTTTAATCGGCTCGATATGAACTTCATCTGGCCCTCACCCCTTCACCTCTGCCAGATTTTACCAGATTTGGTCAACCTACAATATGATTAATAGTATTTTTTCATACAGTTGGTTGACATTTTGACCAAGACTGTGGATATTAATAGTTTTAAAACTTTGCTGTATATATTATTTAATTGTATTATCTTTTCAGTGACGTCGTTCAGAGTACGTCGAAATGCTTCTGTGGTAAGCACGACTCCCACAGTAGATGAAGATGACGAAGATTGGGATGAACCCGAATCTTCAGAAATAGACGATGATGGAAAAGTTTATAAGAATCCTAGAAATTCACCGTCTACCTTATGTCCAAGAGACGAAGAACAAGCTACATTACTAGTAAGTAGAATTATTATTAAAATTATCGCAATATTATTAAAATTATTTGATATTTTATTATATTAAAATCATTTATTACTGTCTAGTAAGTTAATTTAATTCAGTTAAATCTCATTATGAAATTAAAAATAAGAGTGCAAGGTGTTAACTTTACTAAGTTTTAAAGTTAGTATTTAAAAGTTAAAACATTTAAATTCTCTCTCTAGAGATAAAATTTCTTTCAATATCCAAATATTTTCTTAATATAGAAGAAACATTCGTTTATACCTTCTACACAACAATCGCAATGACAATCCTCATTAACGGATAGACGAAAAAAGCTGCAGAAGAATAGACTGCATGCTTAGGAGCCTTTAAATATACGCAAGTGTCAGTAAAAGTAGCCAGATATCGTGTTGTCGAATCTGGTCATGGATGGGTTGATAGACTCAGCAATGGCAGACATCATGTCTGGGCTATGCGGATAATCTGGCCATATAAGTCCTTCTTCTTCTTCTTTTTCAGCCTTAAGTAATCCAACTTTGGAGACAGGCCTCCCCCAAATCAATCCAGTGTTTTCTATTTTGCGCCATTTCCTTCCAGTTGTGTCCTCCAACCATGGTTTCCATTGTTGTATTTCGTGGTTCTATCCTTTATCGTTTATTCGGGCATTGTGTCCTTTCATTTTAATTTGGCAGCATATTCTTCTGCGTCTTTTACTTTGGTTTTACTTCTAATCTATTTGTTTGTCTTTTTATCTATTAGTCTTACCCCGAGCATTGATCTTTCCATCGCTCTTCCATCTTAGCCTAGAGTCAATTTAATGGTATAATCAGAGATTGAATACAACAGGCTATAATTTCAAGATTGACTTTAAATGTAAAACTTAATATAAACGCGCTGTGGTACAAAATCATAAAATCAGAGTGAAAAAAACAACAACGAAGGAAATGAAAGGGAACAAAAACCTGCCAACATTAATGTAATGTAAGCGTAGCAAGTGAGTGAGAAGTTGAATTAAATGGTTAAGTAGCATAGAAAAGATAATAATTATTCGAGATAATTATTATATATTCCAAATCAAATAAGGGATAATTATTACAGTAAAATTTTCATTTTTAAATCCCACAAATAAATTGACCTAGTTATTGCATTGTTTGTTAATTGTTTAAACATAGAAAAGCACGTCAAACAAAAAACTGTTATTGTAATGCAATATAGGACCCACAATTCAACGAAAACACAACCTTGGACTATAACCGGTCAATGAGGACACCATTCGATAAAAACTAGAAAACGGGGACAGCCAAGCAGTAGTCAGTCAATCAGTAGTGATAACGGGGGCGCCGTAACTGCCCGCTCAGGGCAGTGATCGCCGGACGCGATAGCGTCCAGTACGCGAGACAATCGGTGATTCTCCGGGGGCCGCGTATCATCTGGCATAGTTCGCGTGTAGCCCGGTTATTGTGGCAGCTCGAAAGTTCGCAACCCTCAACTGACCGAGTTCCAGAAGACTGAACGTGTCGTGGTTGAAGCCCTAATATACACATAAGGTAACAGATTTCTTATACTAACCTGGGTAATTATATTAGTACCACTGTCAACTCTTCACTATCTTGCTACATCGTCTCCCGACGCGCAGAATAACGTGTTAACGATTGTATTAGTAACTTCAGGGTAGATTCAATATATTGTTGACTCTAATTTGGTTTTTTTAATGTTCTTTTCGTCCGACTCACTAGAGACTAGGAGAACACGAGATTCTGCGTATGCATATCTCCGGCTTCAAAAGTAAGCCCATAACCTCTGCTCTTTACAGGACCTGAGACCTAGGAGTCCTTACCCCTATCCCGAAATCCCTTATCTTCTCGTAAATCCACGAAGACGAGCCAGCCCTCCAGACCAGTGTGACCAGTATTCCTTGCAGCCGCTCGCAGGGTTAGCATCCCTTGAGGATCTATTGTGTATTTCATTTGGTGACAGCGTTTTCCTTACCTTCACATAACGCTCTTATTACCTATTATTTTACATTAAGAGCAATAGCAAGATATACCATATATGACCATAAAAGTTATAAAGTAAGAGATATTGTTATATTTAAGATAGTACGAAAGACAACAAACAGAAGAAGATAATAAAGAGACTATGTTAACAGATTGCTAGACAATCGGTTAGTGAACATTGCTAAAGGAAAACGCTCAAACACACCTCGAGAGCCTGCTTCGTCGTCTCAACTGCTACTGCTGAACTATTGAAGAACACACGACGTAGTCCTAACGTAAGAAGAAGAAATAGAAAAATAGGAAGATGTACTTATAATCAGCAGATAGAACGAATAACGGAAAGAGCAGTGACTACGTTAATGGTAGTATATTTGATAATTTAAATGTGGGGTTTAAAACTAGACATATATTGAATTTATAACATATGTAGTAAATCCACCAATTATATAAAAATAAGTGGTATGTTGGCCATAGGTGCAGCAACAAATTGCCATCCTCAAACCAAGCAAGATGCAAAGACTTGCCATAAACCTCCCTCCTCTACACAACGATATAAAAGGTTAGACGAGAATGGGATATTATCGATTGCGAGAAAACTTAAGCAACCTAACGATTACATCAGTACATAGCGATATCATAAATGAAATCAGGGATACTAAAGTATCTTCCCAAGTGGAACTACTTAAATGGACTACGAAGTAACTCCCAAAACATTTGATACCCATCCACTAGACTTGTATAAGCTGGTACAAGGCTCACGAATCCTTGAATCTGTATCATGAATGAATGGATGACATTCACTGCAGTAGTACCAGTTTATAACAGATGGCTTCCAAAAAAAAGGAATATCCCAATATTAAAAAAATATTACAAAATCCCTACTCTTTCACTTACCTTTATGACAACCCAAAAAAATATTCGTATTTAAATATCTACTTTAGCGTTGCTAATATTAATTGTGGATACTTTTCAATACTTAGGCACCAAAATATTTTTTTTCAGGGTCAAAAATGCTTAAGAAAATGTTCGTCCGATGAAGACTGCAAAAGTAAGAAGAAAAAGTGCCTTTGCGACGGATCCTGTGGCTTATCTTGTATAAAACCAGGTATTTAAACGTTTATGTATTTATTATTCATTGTGCGTATCTTCATTAACACAATTTTTATGATTATTCTTATTTAGTAATAGTGAATTACATGGCATGGCGACTTTTTTGGGACTTTAAAAAGATGCAAAAAAGTTAGCCACCCTTACACCCAGGCTTCTCCCTAAATCCCCCCTCGAGGGGGAAAATGAAAAACATCGATACCAAGGTACCTGAGATAATTTGGAATAAAAATATGTATTAAAACTTTTTCTGTAGAATGAACCTATTTATCAGAAACAACTCTTGAAGCGATCGGCGATTTTAAATCTTACTTACGCGACAGAGATCAATTCGACGATAACTTTTAATCAAATTGTCACATCGACATACATTAAAACGAATTTTAAAGGTGAAGAGTGCTGTTTTTGTATTTTGCGGCAAATAAAGTCAGTTTCTATATAGCTGTTAAATAAATAAATGTTGCCGATTTTTGCCATTTTTACGATTCTAATGAGATCAATAAAATTTATTACTTCCGTTAACTGGTGACTATAGCATTTCTGTTGCTCAAAGATAATTTTCAAAACCTATAACATGAAATTTGGATTTTGAGTTTTGGCAACAAATATGAGAAATTTAAAATATGAGTAAAAAACGCTGAATTTAAACTTTCACATTACAAAGGATCTAACGACAGGGAACATGATTTCAAGAAGACAACATTAGATGTAACTTGCAGCTAAAGTTGCGTAGTATTGAAAAACTTACTTTTACAATATTGAGAGGGTTTAAACATGGTAATACATTTTGCACCTATCATATTTTATCTGTGTTTCAGATCGTGAATGTCCTGAGCCAGAACAGATAGCGTATGGATCAGTAGCAGCCAGTGGAAAACTTTTTGGAGCTCGAGCTACCTATACTTGTCAACATGGATACCATGTCGTTGGACTACAAAGCAGAACCTGTCAAGCTGACGGCCAATGGGCTGGAAGTTCACCGGCCTGCAAGCAAAATAGTAAGTAGGAAATGTACTTAAAAATAATAATAATAAATATTTGTATTTGGTAATTGGTTCTTAAAAGAAAAAATTTAAAACTAGACTAAGTAAAAGAGAAAATATCTTTGGGAAAACGATTAATATTTTGTAACATATCAACTGATAGATAGTGTTTATGACAAACAAAGTGAACGAGGTCGCGTTACTCAAAGTCGAGAGAGATGTGAGGGGTGATTATTTACAACATTTTTACAAGTACACAAACTAAAATAAAATTGGGGAAAAAAAATTGAAAAATTTTTATACATCCTGTATACTAAACAAAAATAATAGTTATATTGCTAACCAGCAAGTATTATATAAACAACACTAAGTGCGTTGACAAATTTATTCGAAGATACACCTCTGACGCACATTGAAGAAAATGTCATGAATACGCTGTATTTTACAAAAACCACTTTTACATATTTTAAAAATGTAAAAAATAAGTTTTCTAAATAAATATTCAAATTATAAATAAAGTTTGGTACATTTTATTATTTTTGAAATAGCGCAGTAAACAAATTGTGAGGGTTAAAACCAATTAAGAAGCATTATTTAAATTGGAAATCCTTCTTATTAAGGCTGGTAGTCTCTAGTTAATAATAAACAATAGACAACAAGGAATTAATATTACATATCGTTACGTGTTCGAAAAAGAAAGGTGATCCATTGATAAAAGGGTTTGAAAAAATGCTTTTAAAGCATCTAGTTATCCATGGGAATATACTATACGTAACTCTCGTATGTCCCACATGTCTAGATATCTATTTTTCCTTTTAAAAAGAAGTAAAAAAGGAAGACTGCTAGTGCATCAATAATACTAAAAACCGATAGAATATAACCCTATAGAAAAAATTTTGATAGCTTACCTGAGGGAGCCCTGTACCTGGCTACCTACATTACGAGAGTTGGAAATTTTTGGATTCCAAGCCTTACCTCAAAGGACTTGAAAAATGGATGAATCTCCATAGGTTTGGTTCTTCAGTGACCGTTGAAGAATAAGGATTCTTAATGTAAGCAAATATAGCTCCAGAGAAATAAAATCACTTTTGAGTTTATCGATTTATAATTAAATCTTTTAAGAGTAGAGATGCCCAACACGGCCGTAACTTACTATACAATATCAAATGTACTCTTTTTTATAACACGTAAAAAAACACCGGTATGAGAAAATGCCCGATCTCGGCGAAGAGAAATATTTAATATGCGAATTGCGAGTTTTTAACTACTCGATGGGATGCCTCGATGGCCATGTGTAAACTTGAACTGATCTTACTGAACTGACAAAACACTACATAATGCGTGAACGGGAATATTACCCCTATTTTATTAATGTGTGAAAAATATTTAACAGGGTCAGACGTTAGACGCCACTCAGTCGGGTGTCGCGTTCAAACTAGATAAGGTGACTGTTCTAGTTATTCTACACTAAGAAAAGTCCAATAATTACATTTTTATTTTATTATTTAAAACAATATGTTCATTTCTGGAACATTACCTGATATACCTTATCGGGAGAACACAACACAAACGATCTACTGTTCTTAGAGAGAAAGTGACTGGCGTACTTCATGAAGCCGCCTTCCCTGCCGAAATTACACCACATTTGTTTATCGTTCGATCGAATTAAACTAAAGTATTTTTCTTAGAAGATTTGTAATAGGTAGATCAAAACATTATACAGAATGGAACTTAAACTACGTGAATTAAAACTTTATAGTTTTCTTTGGATCGTTACAATTTGTATAAAAGATTATAAATTACGAAATAATATTCCCTTTTGAGCATATATCTAGATGCAACACACATCCAAACTTAAATAGAATAGCATTCAAATCTGATTATATTCAATCTAATTGTTTTCTTTCAGTTTATTGTTTGTCACCCCCTACTATTGATCATGCTCGTCATAATGCACCTGCTGAACAAACAACGTTTGATCTGGATTCTACTCTACAATACTATTGTCATACTGGGTACGTAACTAATGGTTTTCCTAGAGCAAAATGTTTGGCAATAGACGGACAGGCTTCTTGGTATGGTCCGGATATAGCTTGTGAACGTAAGTAAAGCTTATTTACTAAATATGCATGCAAAGTTGCTTTTAGAGGTATTTATGAAGCAATGTGTAAGCTGTATGTAATTTATATTATTAAACAATTTTAGGAAATGAGTTTTTTAAAAAACGTAATTGTCATTATTTCTAAAAATTTGGGAAAACAAGCAAACTATACTATTTTATTTGTATAAACACAATTATATTCAAATAGCAAAATTTGGATTCTACTGTATTTGAAAAGCTATTTTTAATAAATTTATCTTGAGTTTTCGACACTCTTAATCCATTCGCTACCTAATTCAAATTCTGAAACTTAATAAAGAAAATCAAAGTGCGGAAATCACTAGAAGAGAAAGATTAAGACTACCATAGGCACGATTTGGTAAACTCCAAAGTTGGATATTTACTCCAAGTAAACCCGCAACAACAGAAAGACCAATTTTAGGTATACATACGACTGACAGATAGGAAAAGAAACGACTGGGTAAGGTTAAAAACAAAAGTCGAGGATATCGCAACAAAAATTGCCAAAATCAAATGGAGTTTCGTAGAATACACTGCTAGACAAAAGGATTCATTTTGGAATAGAGCAATACAACATTAAAGACTCTGTAAAAGTAGATGATCAAGAGGAAGACCACATATGAGATGGGTAGATGACATCAAAAAAATAGCGTAACAAATTGGAAGCTCTTGAGAGAAATCGATAGAAGGAGTTGAGAGAGGCCTATGTCAAAAAATGGACGATAGAAGCTGAGAAGAAGAATGTCTATTTGCTGCTAATTTCACGGACATTTAGCCTTTTCGGTTCTACTAGTCCACAACGTTGGTCTCTCATTCTTTGTGTGTGGCCGTAGTTTGTTTTGTTGTATCCCCTTCTTAATAATTATCGTTTTTTTCCATGTTTTTTTAACACTCTAATTTGTAACTTGCATCGTCAGTAATCAATTTATCTGAATCTAATTCTCTTGTCTTCACATTTAGCTAGATCATGCGGAGCACCAACCGATATTTCCCATGGCTGGCATGCTGGAGAATGTTATACGTATGGTTGCAGAATAACATACCACTGTGCAGAAGGGTACGAACTCGTAGGCAAGAATGAACGCTATTGCCAAGCGGACGGCACTTGGAATCCTAAGGAACTCCCTACGTGTGTTCGTAAGTATCATTAAATCAATCAAATCACTCATTAGTTGCATCTTCACTAAATTCAGTCAAAATAGAGAAATACTTGAACAAAAATTGTTTTGTGTAAATTTATTTATCTTAAAAACAGTTTATTGAATAAATTACATTAATGGATCTTTTTACTGTTTTAAAACTATTATTATATATTATCAAGTATGTTATCAGAACATGTAAAGTTATTTGCTCACTTTTTCTTTCATATATAAAACAAATAATCTCGATTGAGTTGAATACACATAGCAACGTTGTATCAATATATTGGGCTGTTTAGGTAAATTTTCGTTGGATTGTGAAATAGGTAATTTTATATAATTTACATACTCTTAGATTTGATCTCATTATAATTGATATCTCAGAAGATATGTGTAATTTGGTAACTCATTACTCGATAATTGAATTTAACAAGATGAAGAGTAACCACAAACATGTTTGACATCACTTTACAGGTTGTAACGATATAAACGTCAAATGTTTGTTATTTTTCTGTAAATAATTATTTTATTCCAATTTTTTTTATTTTATTCATTTGTTAATGTTTTGTTTTGTTTTAATATTTTTCTTCTAAAAATAGTTGCCGTCGTACTTTTCTAAGTAACACGAGCATGAGATTCTTAATCTCAGGGTTGTGGGTTCGGGCCCCACGTTGGGCGCCAATGTGAAAATATATTTAGAGCTCATTCTGTTACTTCTGAAGGAGAGCTAAGTGTAGTTTTTACACAAGGATGTGTGTAGGCTTCAATGAGGATTGTCTTTTGTGGTAGCAGCTAAAATTGAAGGCTTACTATATCAGTTGCATCAGATTGCTACAGTTGTGGTGCACATCTGTTGGTGACAATGCCATTTTGTGGCGCTAGTCCTATGTAACGCTCACCTCAGCATTTCACTATAGAGAAAAAAGTAAAATACGACGCCAGTATAGAAGCTTCGGTTCAAAAAATATAATAAACTAAAATATCACAACTTCATAATTGACTAAAAAGATTGCATACATTTCTATAATAACAGTTTTAAATATTGACGTATGACTTTTTAAAATAAAAAAATCTATTTTGGCTAATACCTACCTATCTACTTTAAAAGAAGATTTTTCCCATGTACCAGATTTTCTTCCAGAACTTGAATACTTCATATAGAACTATTCATTTTAAATCATCTTTGAAATAGTAGGTATTCACGTAAATATTATAATGAAAAATCGTTTTATTGGCCGTTGTTGTATAGTCGTTACAGCAGTCCAGTGCGCTCCTCCTGATAACCCTAGACATGGAAAAGCCATTTTCACGTCCTGCAGCTACAATTCAGTCGTCAGTTATGAGTGCAAATATGGGTATACTTTGGTGGGAGAAAGTACTAGAAGATGTGGAGCCGACAAGAAGTGGTCTGGAAGTCAGCCAGTTTGTAAAGGTATGTCCCAATCTATCGTCACTATCAAACGTATCAACATGGAAAACATATGCACAAAAACATTTGTTCTTATCTTGTTATTTTAGAAATTAATTGCGGACACCCCGGTCGACTATGGAATGGCTGGCTTGAAAACATAGAAGCTGGCACAGGTCTAGGAGCTTCTATAATATTTAGGTGTCATGATGGTATGCTGCTTGAAGGAAATACGTCTACAGTTTGCCAAATCGATGGAAAGTGGAGATATCCGTTGCCAAAATGTTTAGGTAAGTAACCAGTAAATTACTAAATGTTAACACATAGTTCTGGACTATAGACCAACTTTTTTGCAATTATTTATGACAGAGAATAAATATAGTTGATAAATTTATTTACCATTTAAAGTCATGAATGTTTCTTGTTTAATTTGTGTGTTTCAGAGTACGCAATTTAGTGTTGTCGACCGTTTACATTGTCCAATTCGTTTTTTTTTCTCTAGTTTTTCTATCTATGTAGTCTCGAAGCCTATCAAAGTTTGATGTGTGTGTAGTGTACCGCAATTTAACTCTTTATACATAAAATTACATTGCAAACTGTTTACTGCTGCTTTAAAAAGCTGATCAGACAAGCAATTAAACCACTCCATGAGATTGTGCAGCCGTAGCATTCATTTCCTTCCAACGCTACTCTTTCCTAAAATCTTTCCCTACATGATATTCTACAGAAGCTGGTATTTTGTTACTTTCATTACGTGGCCCAGGTATTGGATTTGTCGTAACTTTATTTATTTCATTACTCCTGTTCAGTCTTTGCAAGACTTCTTAATTCGTAACTCAGCCTACGTCAAATATGCTCAGGATTCTATAACCCTTGATTACAATTTTGACTATAAACAATCTTATTTTAAAAGTTTTGTATTTTGTTCAATTATATATTTTGTATGTTTAATTGATTTACTTTTATTTTAAGCTCCTTGTGTCGTGCCACACGTCACCCAAGGCAGCGTGATTTTAGTCGGAAGAAACGAAACAGCGATGACTTCAACAGTTGTACAACACGGCGAAGCATTGTCGGTAGAATGCGATCCCCACTACGAATTTTTAGCAAGTCTCTCGCCTGTTACCTGTAACAACGGCACTTGGACATCTATGCCAAAATGTGATCCCGCCAGGTTTGTAAAAGTAGAGGTTTATTGCATAATAATATGGAAAATTATGGTATGTCGAGTGACATTGAGGAGTAGGCAGATTGAAACCTCAGTGCTTGTCGGTTCTTGTATTTTACAGAGCACGATACTGGTACGTCACGAGTGAAGGGAGTAGGCAGATTGAGACCCCGAACTTAAACGGAATCATATTCCTCTCGATAATGGCTCCGATATGGGTGCCAAAACGTTGAGTATTAAATTCTCAACGCGTTTCTCCCGAGAACTTAATAATTTACATTTACCTGACCGCACAAATTTATCCAAACATTATATACAGAGTGGCCCACAAGTCTCGACACGGCCAATTATCTCGTAATTTGCTAGTCATAATTGTACAAAATTTGAGGTGCACCTATTTTGGGATACGGAAATTCCAAATTTGATATTTGCAATGTTGTTAGATTTGCCGTTTCTCTTATATTATTAGTAACTTTGGTTTTTCAAATTCATCACCCTGTATATTCAGTCATTATTGCAATGTCCTATTCAACCATATGTAACACCTATGATTTTATGCAGTATGGAAGGTCTTAAATATATAAAACTGAAGTCTGGCAACGCTAATTGTCTCAATAAAATTTTTAATACTAAACTACAATAAAACGTAACAATTGATAGATTACAAAATTTTTTAACATAATGGTTACTTTATCAAATGTTCAAAATTTGCTCCATTTGTGAGTTGAGAGTAGCCTAATGGTTGGTAGAATGCGTCTACCATATATCTCCATGATTGTCGAGAAATTATTCGAGATTCATTTATAATTCGTTGCCTTAGCTCTGGAAGACTTGCTGGTTTAGTTTTATAAACAGAATTTTTCAAGCATCCCCAATACAAATAATCTTTAGGATTGAAATCAGGTGAACGTGGAGGCCATTCAATTCTATCTCGTCTACCAATTCATCTTCCGGTAAATATCTCATCTAAATAACGCCGAACATTTACACAAAAAAGAGCTGGAGCTCCATTTGATGACACCATATCTGATTAAAATTAGCCCCAAACAATTTTCTCAGTGTAGGTACAATTTCATTTCTAAGTAACGTTTCGTAACTATCTGACGTTAAATTTAATTTGGTAAAATAGGCCCAATTAACTGAGTACCTACTGTACCTGACCATACATTTAATTTTTGTGGTCTTTGAGTATGGTTTTCACTGTGGAGGTTGCTTCATTGGAAAAACATATTCTGTTAACGAAATTTTCATCATTTTCAATTTTATCCATCCTATTCAGCTACATAAGGCTGAAGAACGACCTACATCATGTACTTGTGTAACCCTGCCTGAGGATGTATGTGGATCTTAAACAAAACTTTGCGTTATATCTAAAGTTTTGTTGTCATCGGTCTACCTAATCGTTATGTATCTTTTACTTCTTTAGATTCCTCAAATCGCTTTACAGTTTTGTGTACTGTCGCCTTATGAATAGGAGAACGGTTTGGGAAAGTACCATTGAACAAGTTGGCTACTTCACAATAAGATCTTTTTCTGTCACCGTACCCTAGAATAGTAATTCGTTATTTTTCGTTAAGAGCCAGTTTAGAGAAGCAATTTATCTTGCAGAACTTTTCGAAACCTAACTACTGTCAGTTTTAGTTAATAATGTAAATGGTGAACAAATGTCAAAATCACAGCATTCTACATTTAAATATTTAAATTTATTAAAATCTACATATTTTGCTTTGTTTTATGTATTTAAGACCTTCCAGACTACATAAAATCATAAGTGTTACATGTGGTTGAACTCGTATTGAATAGGATATTCCAATAATGATTGAATATGCAGTGTGATGAATTTGAAAAACCAAAGTTACTAATAATATAAGAGAAAAGCCAAATTTGACAACATTGCAAATTTCAAATATGGAATCCCGGTATTCCAAAATAGGTGTACCTTGAATTTTGTAAAATTATGACTAGCAATTTACGAGATAATTGGTCGTTTCCAGACTTTTGGGCGACTCGGTGTATATATAATCCAGATGATTTGAAACAATCGTGTTTTATTTTATTTTAGATGCAAACGCCTTCCGACCTCTCCACGCAATGGAATGGTAATCGCTCCCAAAATGGAGCATGGCATGAAAGCAAGATTTAAGTGTAAAGACGGATTTGAATTAAAAGGTGAAGATCTGATGGAATGTTCCTTCGGAAATTGGACTGGAGAGCTTCCAAAATGTGAAGAAGGTAAAGATGTATGAGACTTAGTCAAGAACTATCCACATACAGTTAATTTGCTAGAGGAACTTGGTTAGTTGGTATTTATTTCTCTTGCACTGGAGTCTCACTACTGGTAAAATTTATTGGTATATTAACGATAACTAAAAAGTCGGGCCAGTAATCATGAAACATGTGCCAAAATGTATATTAATTTTTTATCTATTATATATTATCCAGCAAATATATATTTATTAATAACTACCGTATGATAGCTATAACGAAAACAAAAAACGCTAATGCGTAAAAAATGCTAATTACAAAAAGACCACAAAATATACACCACATATTGGTAATGGTAACGTGATAGAACAAGTAGGTAAAAACATATCTACACTTTGGAACTTGAGGACTAATCAAGGAAACCAATGATTATACTGCCCAAAAAAGAGGCAGGTTAGGCTAAGACTTGGACATTACAAAAATGCAATTTAAAAAGAATCGAGGCTTTCGAACTCTGGTTATACTGATAGAATTACAAATAAAGAAGTACTGGAGGGGTTTGGTAAAGAAATAGAACAAATCACCAATATACAAACAAGAAAACTGAAATATCTATGCCACGTGATGAGGGGACCAAAATATAAAATTTTGAGACTTATTATACAGGGAAAGATTTAAGGAAGATCTGTTGGCTGAAGGCAGAATGATTATTTGAAGAATCTACGTAATAGGTATCAATACAGATTGATTAATTTGTTGTTGTTTTAGTAAAAATATTAGTTATATAAAAGTATGCCCTCTCCCAACCTCCGTAGGGAGAGGGCATACTAAGAAAAGAAGATAGCCCTAATCTTCAACGCAAGTCAAGTTCTTTTTACTACAATTAATGAAAGAATACAATCAATACTCTTACCATAGATCTCCCAAAAATAATGTGGATTTGTTCCTAGAGGTGACACACTAGAATAGATTATCAAACTGAGACAAATTATAGAAAAAGCTATAATCAGAATTATATAAGAATTCAATTTAAAAAGTTATTTGCGCTTCGTTGACAACTCAAAAGCATTCGATGCTTTTGTAAGGTGACAAAAAACGTGGTGTATACTAAATGAAATGGGCAACCTTGAACATCTAATACACTTGATTAAATAACTATATATCAAAACATAGTAAACGTAAGGGTCAACAGCACATATTCCGATAACTTCAACCTAAAAGCCAGCGTTCTTTAAGAATTCCCTACGCTCTTAAGAGAGCGTGAGAGAACAAAAATTAGAAAGTGATAGCTACTACAACTAAACCAGAAATATTATATAAATCAAGCAAAAAAAATTATAAACAATTTGCCAAAAAGAGCGCCACCAAAAACACCAAAGGGCGTTACCATGATTGAAATATTCAGCATAATTATTGAACTTGCTATTGCAGAATATTTAAAAAAAAGTAAAACTTACAGTGACTTGTAGCTAACCTTATTTAGCTATACCCACTGCAGTTAGGGATGACCCATTTTGCACTAAATTAATTTTTTACTTCTTGTTTCGTCTTTACTTGCTGGGTCACTTCATATTTCGATTTACCTCGTATTATTTCCTTAATAACAATACTATAAAAGATATATTTGATCCTCCGAAAATATGGATGCTCAAAAAACGCCTGTGTCGGCGAAAATCATCATCTCTCCGATGATAATCCACAAAGTCTGGGATCTCCAGCTGTATCGTCTTTTCTCAATGTAAATAAATGATTTTATTTTGTTTATTTCAATCGATGCTTTTAAGACGCAATTATTACAAAGGAAGCGTTATTCGGTGCAATTAAGACTTTATATACCAACGCTGATAGTACGTCTTTTCATTCAGAATTTAAGTATTTCTTTTTGGAAGATGTGAAATACGTCGATTAAAACCTTATACCAGATAAAACTAAATAATGCTACAATATGAAAAAATGATGTAATTGATTTACTCCGTATAGGCAGTACGTGTGGAAAATAAAGACGAACTTTGTTTAGAACAGGTGTTCTATAAAGATCAGTATTAAAAAAGTAAAAGTAATTAAAAAATATATAAAAAATAGATACCGTAAGAGACTCAAGTGCAAAAGAAACAAAACGACTTACCGCATTCTATAGAATCATTTCAAAGACTCTCATCTTTCTTTAGTATACTGCCCCTATCCTGGAAATGTGCAGAATGGCAAAATTTTGTTAGTTGGAAACATGGGTTTGTACGACTATCGTCCGTATGTTCGAAAAGTAACAAACAACAAGCAGATCATGTACGATTGTGACAAGGGATATGTGTTGGCTGAAGGTCCTCCTGGAGCGACATGTATTGGAGGTCATTGGAGCCCGAGAGAATTACCTAAGTAAGTGATTTTGTATTATTTTGTTCGTTTGAGAAGAAATTTTAAAATAGTCTAAAAAGGCTAACTTCACTTCAAACCTTTATAATTTTTAATTTATTTAACAGTTAGGACAGTTAGTAAGGACCAAGCTTTATTTATACATACAAGATTGGAAAACATCGATTTTTATTCCAAAGGATTTTTAATTTATCAATAAATATATACAGTATATACATTAAGTTTTGGATTAGATATTTTAAATATATAAAGCCCTAAAAACGGCAATATTGTCTCGTACGAGGTATTGTTTTTTTTTTTTAAATAACTTTAAACCAGATTCTTTAACCAGTACTACAAATATCTATTATAGATCTACCCACTGTACATACTAATAATTCAATTAGCTGATTTAAAGAAGGTGGTACTTCTTTTCGACCAATATATTGACCAGGACTGCCTACAATATCATTGGATTCGTCACTTACAACTAGAAATGCAGAACACTATGATTCAGCACCAATTAGTGATGATAAAAATTATTTGAAGGATGAGCATGTTAATATTACCAGTTTTTTGTGGTGATTTTATTAAAATATAAAATGAATAAAGACTTAGTGTTCTATATTGTATCATTTAAGTCAAAAATAGATCTGTTATAGTTAATAAAAAATCGACTGGACTGCATTAACCCTTTGAGTGATAGCCAAGAAATGGTCAATTAAGGTTTAATATTACTTTTTTTTTCAATTAGCTGTTTTAAAAAATACGTTTATGTAGAATATAGCACTATATTGTTATATAAGCTATTGGTATTTTTTGGACATCAAAAAGTCTACAGGCTTTGCAAATAAAATATAAAGATCAAAATAAAACTACCACCAAAAGGGAGATTCTTGTCGCTACAAATAGAAAACCGAGACCAATGACGTATAATATATAGACTCAGTGAACGCTTTAAAAAGTGTCCAAAACATGAATACCTTTGTTATTGTTTATTGTTTTGATACGAAGATGCACGAAGTTCATGATTTCTTACGAAGCATCACCACGATCACCACCGAGCATCACGAAGTTGATCTTGTGTTTGAAAACATCATGGACGTATGAAAACATTTTCTCCATTTTGTGTGTTTACATATTTTAAGTGACAAGCAAATTTTATTTTAAATTGTTGAGAGTTATTTACTTACTATTTTAGTAAAATGCCATGCTATTTTATAAAAATAATTTTTCCTCTTATAGATGGGAACAAAAAAAATCATAAATATTTAATTTTAATTAAAAAAAAATTATTGTCATTAAAATATAAATAAGCACGCCGCTGTTCTAGTAAACATACCTTCAACCTTGAGCAGGGATCTTTCGGACACCCGATTATATAGCGAATACGGGACTGCTCAGTCTACATATTATACGTCATTGACCGAGACAAAAGAGCAAGATCTCTACCACGTTTTACCTAATAATACATTTTTATTTTGGCAAAAATTGTGTCCCGTAACTGTACTTGTTCCCAAACTCAACTACACATTATAAACAACTAAAATAAGTAAAAAATAAACGCTTAACCATTTCCAGCCAAATTATTTTTTTTTTTCGATAAATTTTGTTGAAAAAAATGTATTTTATAGGAAACGATACAGGAAAAAATAATTGTTGATAACTTTTGTAAAATTTTTGCATTCTAGAGTCTTTAAACTCAAAAAAAATTGATCTCATTTGGAATTATCTGGCGTTGGTGGTACCTGAATTATCCATTTAGAACACTTGATATAGTGGTGTGGTAGAAAATTGACTATAATGGGAAATTATTGCACTTATACTATTAACAATTTAATTTTGTACATGGAAACTATAAAAACAATGTTTATTATTGTTTAAACATAAAAAACATTGCACTTAGAACATTTTATTCTAGAGTAAGACTTCATACATAATTTGCACCTTGTGCGATTTTGATTATGTAGTGGCCAGTGTCCTACGCCATCAAATCGAACATCTTACACTGGTGCAGGATGCATTACTTGTCTCTTATTTGGTGTATTCTCTTGAGAAGAAAGTCCTCGGTTTCTCGTATCAGACTTTCTAGCTTTTAGTAACGCATGTCCAACTTAAGATTTGAATTGGAGAAGGGAGATGTTTTACTTATTTTTGGTTGCAGTGTCTTTGGTACAGCAACCAAGAGTTGACAATACATGTATTAATAAGATTAAATAGTATTCTCAAATAGAATCTTTTTAGTTTGATTTTGATTCTATATTATAGTTCGACAAGCATGTCATGCAAATCCACACCCTCCATCGAAATATTATATTCTTTGACAATTGCTGGCCGTTCGATTTCTACATAGGTTTTGCTCTTGTTGCACCATCTCTTCACTTTATCAAGATGATATTTTCCTATATAGTTCGATGCTAATATGACGGACTTATTGTCATACCATTTGAGAGCAGTAATATTTTTCTTGCTGTCTATTTTTACAACAGAGGTTCCACGACCTTTTGCCATTAGAACTTGGTCTTTTAAAAAAAGACAACCTGCTAGCTCCCACTTCTTACAGTCCCTGCAGCAAGGCAGTCCCATTCTTTCAGACTAATAAGTAGATTATAAGATGTGAACCAATTATCCGTGAAAATCTTGAAATTTGGCTTCCTATGGTTTGGCAGATTTCTAACCAATTCAGTACTATTTCAGTAAAACTGTTATGCCCCATTTATAAGGTTTATTTTTTATATATTGCTTTAGATTACTATGTTCTTTGAGTCGCATAATAAACACATCGATGCTGTTATATTCATCAGGTTATATTTTATTCATATTTTGGCGAACTTTTTCAATGAAAAGTTTTACTTTATATAATTATTTATCATTGTTGCTAGACGAGACTTTCAAATTATTGTTGCCGTAAAAATATGCTCGCAGTCTATCAAAACGATTATGTGACATGATATCAGCTATCGTATTATATCGCGTTTCTTCTGCCCAATATATTCTATACGAAGGAACACGAATAATTCCACTCAATACATGTACCTATGCCTAAGAACTGCTCTATCTCTGCTGCATTTGTATCAATATTTTTACTTCCTTTACTGTCTTTTTGCACAGAATACAAGTTTGTCTGCTCAGCAAACTTTTGAATAATATAATTGTCACAATACATTTTAAAATATTGAAAAGGCGTATAAATATTTTTATTATCCGAAAAATCACCGCTGTATTCGCTGTTTGCATCAATTAAATTGTTGTTTGTCCAAGTTGGGTTTTCTATGCTTTTTTTCTTGGCATGACTTGTCTGTAGCTCTTCTGTAATTTCTTCAATAGTTTTTTTTCCGTAAACTTGGGTGTTCAATCTATATTTAACAATATTTTCTTTTATTTGAGTTTCTTCAATCATTTCTTCTTCCAAAGTCTCTTCCTTATTATCAACAACAAATTCGATATCAGAGTCATCAAGAAGACCAACTATCTCTTCCTGGGACAGATTTAGTAATTCCCGAAAAGAAAGTTTGGTTTTGGTAGTTTTGAACACACGATCCATCTGTCTTTAAAAAATCTTTCTCCAGTTAAATCCAACCCATGATATCATTCCTTGAAGCAGTCGCAAAAAGCCTAACACAACTTGGGTAAGTATTTTTTAAAAGTTATAGGAACAGAGAGACAAGCTTTACATAGTTGCATTGCGCGGTATATAATACAATATAGGGACGTTTATCTTTGATCTTTTCTCGCGCTGTCACCAAGCTGTGGCAAGTTCTTCTTCTTCTTCTTTTTATGTAGATATGACTCTCTCTGTTTTTCAATGTGCCTCCAGCAAGTTGTCGCTCCATCGTTTTCGTGGTCTTCCTACTTATCATCTTCCTATTGAGGAACCGTCTCTTGCAATTTTTACTACTGTTACTATTTGTTGTCATTCGGCCTATATGATCCTTTCATTTTATTCTTCCATTTCTTACTCAATTCTGGATGTTCTCCACCTTGCATCTACGCCGTATATCTGTACTTCTAGCTCTGTTACATAGTGTCTTAGCATCAATTTTTCATCTAATATCTAGTGTCTTCAGTAAATGTTTACTTTAAAAAACTGTTAAATATTAAATAGGTAAAGAAATAATAAATAAGACTTACTCACAATCAATTTAATTTAACTATCAGACGACCGGTTTTGCTTTCTACAATATGCAAAGCATCTTCAGGTCTCGATACAAAGTTAAACAAATGCTGAAATGATAAAAACCCATATTAGGGTGTTGTCTAATAAAGATAAACAAATTGGATGTTATAAATTACAATAATTATGCCAATATTACATGTCTGTGGTTTTATTTAAATGATTAAGTTGAATAAAAGGTATAAACATTTTTTAAAAATGTTAAACAGACAAGGTAAAGCCCACAAATTGTTATAAAATAGTCTCTTCGATTGTAATAAATTAATAAACGAGCAAATAAATAAATAAAATAAACATTACTTACATGCCGGTACTCTATTAATAGATGGATGGTAGAACATGTTTGAAACTACTTTATATTGTTGAATGGAGAACTCAATACTATTATTGCAGTTGTTTGACAGTAAACGGGAAGTTCTTGAGGAGATAGATTTGATCCAATGAATTTGAGATATGTGTGAGATTGTTTGTTAAATGTAAGTGATGTAATATACTATTGTGTTATTAAAGGTTATTTATACTTATTCCAGAGATATATTTTTGAAATGTGTGTTATTTATTGAGTAATTGTTTTATGAAGGTGACAGTTTTATGACAATGAATAAGTGTAGATGTAAAAATTGTGTGGGTGTGCAATTATTTTCCAACTTGTAGTTATCAAATTTCTTTGATAAAGTTCTATTGGCAATGAGTTAATTATTGGAATAGTCAGGTAAATAAAATGGTAAAATACAAACAATACAAACAAAATACAAACAAAATACTTATTTGAAATGGACTCACACAAGCAACACATTAATGATTTGTTAAATATTATTTTGAAAACTTTTCCATTTATCCTCAAATGTAATTAGTTGTACTAACTTTTAATTTTAATAGTTTTAGTTTTATTCATTTTAGTAAAGAAGTTTATTATGGTATTGGGCTTTTTCTAGACTAGTCCAACTGAGGTTTAGGTTGACTTTTCCCCCAAAAGAAAAAAGACATATGGTACTTCTCTACTTTATTACAAACTTAAACGTACTTACAATTGACCTAGGTCGTGGTTACGACTTACCTTACGGCGGTCAGCAATGCTAGTTACATTCGGCATTGACCTAAGTTCTATTCGAATGCATGTAAAACAATTTTCTTTCAATTTTTTAATCTAAATTGAAGTAATATATATATATGATTGTGTCTTTAAGCCAAGATATCCAAGATTCATAAATGTTTTTATTTCATTTTTATATCTTTTACAGATGCTTGTTGGGTCAGCATCCAAGAATCCGTTGGAATCGTAGAAAACGATCTGCCATAATGGAAAAATATAAAAGAGCCTTTATTCGCAATCACAAATTCATATATGCAGGTAACCAAAAACGAAATATTCATAACTACCTTCATCTTGCCGAAGAAGATTTGAAACTAATACGAAATAAAAGAAGTGCTGTGGTAAAAAAGTCGCTCTATCAAAGAGTTGCCGAAGCTCTACAATTTTTTAACAGTATCAGAAAAAAACGAGCTCTTAAAGGTAAGTTTGTGTACAGCTGATTAATGATGCACAATACTATATACAGTAATAATCTGAATTATAGGTGGAAGTGGTAGCAGAGCTCTTGGTACAAGTCACCGAGGTTCTAGCTCCAGTTTAAGCTTGAGAAGAGGAAATAAAAAGAATCCTTACGAAGACGACGAGGACGACAAACCTGGAAATCAGGTAATAGAACCAAAGAAACCCAAACCTAAAAACAAAGGTCCTTGCGAACCGTTGTCCAGTGAACCTTACGTCAACATTGAAGTCGTAAAGAATGGAAGAGAACCTAATGTAAGTTTTAGCGCCGGCACCGTTGTCAAAATGGCTTGCGGTAAAGGATACGGGTTAAATATGCCGGAAAATAAGACAGCCAAATGTGTACGAGGAAAATGGCGACCCACACAGCCTATGTGCTTGATATGTAAGTTCTTTTGTCAATGTAATACCATTTCTAACACGTTGACTGCTTTCATAAAAATGTTCACTAAATTAAAATATCTATAAATGTAGTTATTTTGTAATACGACAACTTGCATACAATTATGAAATAAAGATATTTTCGTCATTTAAATGAAATTTTTATAATCGTCTACAAATAGAGGTAAACAAGGTATCGCAAAACTCCGATTAACCGTTTAAAAATAATAATAATTAAATGATTAAACTTATTATTTAATCTCTCAATAATCGATGAACTATGAACGATGAAGTGAAAAGTAGTCTATCAATATCATTTTGCATTTAAAATCACGCAATACACTTAGACAGCATTATTTCAACCTTTAATAATTAACAGTTTGTTTTCCATTATTCATCTTCATTCAAAATTTCAACCTCTGCATCTAATCTATCAAATTATTTCAACGCAATGCTTATATTTCATTTTTTTGTGCCCAAAATACAAGTTTTCAGTAGAGACAAAAAACTGTTTTAGTTGAAAAATAATGAACGAAATAATTCTTAATATATTTATTATTAAACTTTGGTTCAATTAACACTTTCTTTTTCTTCAAGTGCCCTCTCCGCTGCGGAGTTTGGCAATCATCATTGCTATTCGTATCTTTGAAGCTGTTGCTTTAAATAATTGGTTAGATGTGCACTGGAACCAGTCTCTTAAATTGCGCAGCCACGATATACGTCCTCTCCCCACGCTTCGTTTGCCCTAAATCTTTCCTTGGATAATTAACTGCGGTAATCGGTATTTTTTCCCTCTCATCACATGACCAAGATATTCCAACTTTCTTCTCTGGATGGTGATCAACAGCTCCCGTTCTTTGTTCATTCTTCGAAGAACTACACTATTTGTTATTTTGTCTGTCCAAGGTATTTTCAAAATTCTTCTATATATCCACATTTAGAAGGCCTCTAGTTTATCGGTATTGCTCTTGTTTAAAGTCCAAGTCTCTAATCCGTACAGCAGTATCGAAAAGATGTAGCATCTAACCAATCTCATTTTCAGGTTTAAGTTAATGTCATGACTTGCTAGAATGTCCTTCATATTAACAAAAGCAGCTCGACCCTTTCCAATTCTAGTTTTTATTTCTTCTGTGATGTCATTGTTGTTATTAACACTTGTTCCCAAATATTTATATTTGTGCACCCGTTCGATTTCGTTATTGTGAATGTACAGATTTGCATTCAATCTTTGTTTTTTTGAAATAATTATGAATTTTGTCTTCTTGACATACATTGTTAACCTTTTCTCTTCATAGCTGTGACTACCTTGTCTAAAATGGCTTGCAGGTCTGTCTTCGCCATTAAAACCGTATCATCTGCGTATCTAATATTATTCATTGGTTGGTCGTTAACTTTAATCCCAATCTCTTCTTCCTCCAATGCTTTCCTCATAATTTCTTCCGAATAGAGATTAAATAGCATTGGTGACAGCACACATCCTTGTCTAACTCCTTTTTTAATTTGAATTTCATTTGTTGTGCTATTTTTGATGCGTGCGACTGCCTTGTGATTATAATACAGAGTAGATATTATTCTTATATCGCGAGTGTCTAACTGTTTAGCTTTCAAGATCTTTAAAAGTTGATCATGTTTGACGTTATCAAACGCCTTGTTGTAATCAATGAAACAAGCAAATACATCTTGATTCACAACCAAACACCTCTGTGTCAAGATGTTAAAGGCAAATAATGCTTCGCGAGTTCCATATCCCTCCCGGAATCCAAACTGAGTTTCTCTGATATCTTCTTCTAATTTTCTGTAAATTCTATTCGATTAACACTATTGACATACAAATTTAAAGTCCAGTGAAATAAAATAGTTTATGCTGTAATTAATTTAAAAACACCAAGAGAACAAAACGTAACTGCCATTATTTATCTAAGTCATAACATTGTAAGTGTGTATTTACTTGTATTTAAAAGTCAAAAGAAAAAGATCAAATTAGCAATAATTATAGTGATAATTTTTCGACTGTTCTAACAACCATTCAAATTTCGTCATTTTGTGTCATGTGGAACAATTTCACCCAGTCATGTCAACATTAGACTGATAATTGCATTCAGTGCAATTTTCAATCCCTATGACAACCCGACCGAGTTTGACAACTTCTTCCAAATAAATTTCAAAATGTCACGTTTCTAATGTTAACTTAAATTTTAATAATTGTACTTTCACTAACTGTACTTTTAATAAATAAATGTTTCGTTATGATTTTTTTTTTCGAAAAATTATCCGCCGAATATCCTCCGACATTGATGAATGCCTCATAATTTCATGATAAATTTCTCAAGCTCGTTGCTTGGTAACAGCACTCAGCCTTCGGCTTCTTGCTGTTACCAAGGAACGAGCTTTCGATTATCATGAAATTATCTCGTCTGTTATCAATGTCCTAGGGATATTACTACTGAAAATAAAGCTTACATTTATTTATTTACTTAAGCAACTTTAATTAAAAATTTAAAAATCAGCATTTTGTAAGGGGTTCGTAAAAAGTTTTTGCTTCTCCTGCTAAATATGATAGAAAGGCTTCGATATTTTTATTTTTTTTTTTTCGATAGACAATGGCACATAGGTTTCCTTCATCTCGATTTCCAACTCGTCAAAACTTGCCTTAGTGATTCTACGTCACTAAAGTATTAAGCCATGGAGCAAAACCCACGTAAGTTGTCCATTGACTACAAAAGTCTAACAACATGTCCCTCTGCAAACCTGAAAATATGTGCATTAACTTCTGCTTACAGAACACAATTTTTTAACTAAAGCTTTAAATGAAAGATTCTGAATTTTACACACCTAAACTTCAGACATGCCCCGAATTATTAACATATATTTTTGTATGTCCACTGTCGCCTGCTTTGGGTTGCATAATCGTAACTACCATGTCTCCTTCTTTTTATTAAACAGACTCAAATAAGGTTTTTTAGATATTTGTTGTTCGTTATAATTCCCCATATCCAAAAAGTCACGGAAAAGCTTTTTACGGCTATCTAATGTTATACACATACATGAGAACTGGCATTTGCAGGATACTTTAAACGAAAATAACAACTATAAAATGTTAACCTTAATGACCAAATAAATTGTTTTTGCTTGGAGTATTAATAAATAAAATACACTTTCAAGTCACACACTCAAGTACTTCGTCTACCATTTTGCTGGACTGATTGTAGCAAATGTGGTTCCAACTGATATGGTACCTACAACGTTATGACTTTCTCTTTCTCAGCGTTCAAGGTGGAAGCATCTCAAAGCTTTGGCATCAACAATGCAAGAATAGGTCGGCACATACAACGGTTTCATATAAAACGTATTTCAGCTCGAGTGGCACTTACAACATTATGGTTTGGCACCCCTCAATTTTGTTGTTGTCATAGTGTTTTTTGCATGTTTATCGCAATGAACAACGATATGACCTACTTCGGACGAGGTAAAGTGCACGGGAAAAGACGTCCAGGACGGAGAAGAATATCCTGGCTGTATAACCTGCGAAAATGGTTAAACTTAATTAACCACTACCGGACTTTTCAGAGCAGCAGTCAACAAAGTCAGAATAGCCATATTAGTGTCCAACATCCATAACGGATAGGCACCATAAAAAGAAGAAGAACATTAACATTATTTTTTATTTCACTTTTCAGTATTTTTGTATTAATTTTTGATTCTTTTCTTGTGATGTTTGTTCTTTTTAACGGTATTTTCACGACAGCAACTAACTGATTGTAGTCTGAGTTAACATCTGCTTCAGGATAAGTTTTAACTGAGGTTATAGAGCTTTTAAATCTTTTGTTTACGAGTATAAAATCTATCTGATTTCTGACAATATGGTTTACTGTATGTGAAGGAGACATCCATGTATATAGATTTATCTTAAGAAGCTAGAAACCAAGTATTGACAATTACCACATTCTTTTCTTGACAGAATTCTATGAGCCTCTCTCCTCTCTCGTTTCTAGTTCCTAATCCGAACAGTCCTATTACATTTTCAACTATACTTGCTCCAGTTTTTGCATTAAAGTCTCATAAAATGTACGTAATGCCTCCAGATTTTGTTAACTTCAGTGTATTGTGTATTCTGAATAAAACTTTTCGATCTCATCTTCGGTCTTATCAGCTGCGTAATCATCATCTTGAATTTTTAGCATTATTATTCTTTCTGAAATCTGAATCACACCTAGCAGTTGGTTACCTGTTGATAGTTAAAAAAACTGAGGAATAAAAAATTACGGTTAATCGAAGTTATGCTATATTATTTTTACCTAACAAAGTATCTATCTACGGAATTAAAAAAAATATTGGACTAAATGAATTAGTCTTAATAAGAATAAAGAATTGTATGGAAAATTTTACCCAGATTTACTTACTTACATTGAAATGACAGACTTACATTACATGGAACAGTGAACGTATTAGTCTATATTATTAGTGTAACAATAACCTGGCACACAATTTATTATTTAACTATACAGGGTGTTCCAAATTGGTATGTTTTACAAGGTATACCAAAAACTAGAGGATATAAAAAAAATTAATTAAGATGTCATGACTTCTTTTTTCGTTAAAGTACCGGTTACCTAATTAAAACATTAATCGTTCCCCACATTAGCGAGATACAGCGCATTTATTGAAAAATGTGGAAAACGACAGTGTTAAATATCTTATTTATTAAGAAAAATGTTTAAAAACTTTATTAAAACTTTTGATAAAAATATTATTTATGCGTCCAGTGGCGTATGAGAAATTTTTTCAGGGGGTCTCACTAAAGAATTATAATATCAATGTTTCATAGCAAAATAAAAATAAATTATGCCAGCAGACAAAAAAGAGAATTTTCAGAAGTTCAAGGAAACAGTCCCTTCTACCGGAATAAAAATATATACGTAGAAAAGCCAAAACAGAAAAATGAAAATATTTAAAACGACTATACAATTTATGGTATAGTTGTTGCGAGACACACTTAAGGCCAAAATACCAATTAGCCGCAAAAGAAAAGTATTTGACCAATGCGTATTACCAGTCATGACTTATGGGCAAAAACTATGACTCTAATC